AGCAACTGCACAAAGCGCTGGCGAAGGTGTTAACAGCGGCGCGATGATTTCACTTGGGTTTTTCTCCTCTTCCAGCTTTGGCATCTTCTCCTCTCTCTCCTTCTCTTCGGGTTCCTTGTGTTCATTTATTATTATTAGTATTTTTTATTTCGCATTTTACTATTTACATATACATAGTGTCCATATTTACACAAAGAATTTAATCTTATTTTACAATTATATTCGAAACTATTCATTGTTCAAAAAAATATATTAAATCAAAATTATTTTGCTCCAAAGAGAGGATATGTTAATGCAACTTTATTCTGGGATAGTAAATGTAAAATGATCTTACATTACAGATGATCGAATCTGCTTGTGCACAAGATATAAATTTAGATTAAAAATTGGACTTTTGAAGTAATTATCTTTTACTTTCTAAGTTTTTTTTTTATCGTACTTACGTTGTACTCATAGCATCTGTGCTCATGATTTTTAACAGCTTCAACCAAGTATCTAAGATAATCTTGCACGTGGGTAAAACCCCTGAGGACGTGGGATGGTCTCGAGGACAAGTAGGCTTGCATAACATTGCTGATGCCGGGTATCTTTGCTAAGGCCGTCGCTATTTTGGCGACCAGTTGCTCCGGGCACTTCTGTCCCAGGTGCTCAAAGATTTCCAGGGCCTCTTGATGCACCCAGGAATGCTCGTCTTCTAACAAATGACAGAACAATTTAGTCAAAGTGGACGCAACACTTTCGACTCCGCAACGACCGAGACTCTCGACATTCTGTCGAAGAAAATGACAGATCTTGATCTTGCCTCGAGGCGGTAGACGGCTGCATAAATTTGCGACTGATGTTAGAATCTGAAATATCAAACGAACATATATTTAATATTAATTCTAATATTCCAATACTCTTGTAATTTCTGTTGCGAAAGAACTACTCGCGTCAACGAATAATTAGATAGACAAAATAAGTTTTTGTTATACCGCACAAAAGCTGTCATCATGAAGACTTTTGAGACAAGTAGCATCGAGCAAGACAACAACCATGTCGGTCAGTAGATCCAAATGCAAGCCCTCGTATTTGATATCCGAGTCTTCAACGATACTCCATATTTTAGTTAAAACGTCGATAATATTCTTGTTATCGCTATAATCTACCGCTGTCGTGGTACACATGAACAAGATCCGCAACTGAAAATCAATATGAAAACTTTAAATTTCTAAGCAATAAAAAAATAGGAAATTTATTCTAAATAAATTTTAAAACAAATTATAAATATGTTAATTATATAATTAATTATAAACATTTCTTATAGCAAAAGCAAGCGCACAAGCTTATTGATGTATCTAGTATTACGTCTTACAAAACGGTCCCAATTGTGAATTAAAGGATGTTCTTGCAAGTCTGAGAAAGCCTTCGGCAAATCTTCAATTTTACGGTTTAATTGTTCTAATCGTTCTCGTGAAAGAGATTTGGTTTTTGTCATTAACGAACACAGGATAGGAGTATAATAATCCATATCCGGGTCAGCAAGGTTCTCGAACAGAGTGGATTTCATATCTTCGTTCAGCAGATCGAACAATCTGACGATCAAGCTATCCAGCATGATCACTTCTGTGCTGTTACGTCGTTGTACTAAGAAGGCGGAAACTTTAACCAAATGTTTAATGTGATCGGCGCACAGTTGCGAAGAGCCGAGTCTTAAATAATAAATAATAACATGGAATTAGCATTAGAGTTCAATTGATTTATTTTTACTAAATATTAATCAATGTGTTATAAATCTAATAAGCAATTAATTATATATATATATATATATATGTATATTAATAAGTTAATTATAACACTAGCCAATAAAAAATGTGATGTATTGATTAAATAAATTAATAACTCATAATTAAGTTGTAGTTGTAAGTGCATTGACTAAGATTCTGTTAAGCAATTATTAGTATTGATGTTAACATAATGTTTGCTTACCTGCCAATAAAGCACCAAACATCCGAACTTAACAGAGACCTCCAGAAGTGATCGGACAGCAAATGCTTTAGTAAAAGCAGTTCGACTGCGTGAAAGTCTTCCGGAGGAATCTGACTGATCAAGCTGCAAACGATTACCAGAGTCGCCTCGTAAATGCTAACAGATCGTGGTCCTTCGCCGATCCCGCGAACACCTGGCAGTCGCAGATCTCCGGCGCAGAGTTGTTCGTCGACTACAATCGAGAATAAATAAATAAATAAATAAATATAAATAAATAAATGAATGAATAAATGAATGAAAGTGATTTAGCGTTTATTTCAAGTTTGGAATAATCAGAAAAAAAGACAATCAAATCCCAAATTGCAATTGTTATAATTATCGGAACGTGCGCAATTAGTTGTGATTTCAAAATTATTAAAATTTTTAAAATTCCATTAAAATTTCCAAAAGCTTCAAAGTTCTTTAGAATTCTTGAAATCTTTATAATTATTTTTCTTTTTGTCACTTACTATGTTCCATGTATGTGAAAGAAACATCCAAGATCGAATCCGAGCCTACAGACCAATGATGTTCGTACGACATGCCATTCAGTTTCATCATGATAGCGATCGTCAGTAACTGGTAATTTATTTTAACATATTGATCACGTGAAATAATTTGCCTTCCGTATTCAAAATATACCTGAAATACAAATAATTGTATTTATATTATTTTATAGAAAATTAATTTTTGTTCCTCATTATACAGGAATAATGTATAAAGTAAACTTACAGACGTATTTCTCTTCAAAACATTCTTATTAGTTATATAAATAGTTTTATATAAATGAAATTGACGAATATATTAATAAAATAATTCTTTTCAAATGTTAAACATAATACATTTACAAATTCATCATTTTATATAACTTTTTACTATTTTATACTACTTGCAAACTTACACCACTTATCATTTTATAAAAAATTAGAAACCGAATTGCATAATAATTATGAAATGATTGTATTATAAATTATTGTATATCTTTAATGCCCCTTTGTGTGATCAAACTTACTTGCTTAAAATCGTCACGATTGAAGATGATATTTAGAAAAGATGCAGCGTCGGCTGAAATTGTTCTTCCGCTACCTTTCGCTATCGTTAAACAGGAGTATCTGTAAAAAAAGAAGTAATAATAGAAATAAAATAATAGAAAAAAAAAAGAAGTATAAATAGAAATTATATAATTTCCCCCAAATATATTAGTATTCACTTATATCTAGAATGCTATGACATAAGACATAACGACGCTACATAATAATTTTATGCGATATGCAAATATAAGAAATTCTTGCAATCAGTTTAGCTGACTTTTATTTCGAAAGACTGTTGGTTAAAAACAAAATTGTCACCTGTGCATTTGTCCCAGAAGTTCTATCAAGTCTGACATCATCTCGTGCGTGAGAGATGCGCTGTAAGACGATGTTAATTTCAGGAGGATTCTCAGCAGGCGCATAGCAACCATTATATTTCGTTCCGCACTCTTATCGTTCTGGTCCTGTCGGTTTGTATATTTATGATTACTACTAATTAAATTTGTATAAAGATATAAATAATATACTTTAATAAATATTTCATTAATAATTAATTTTTAATTATTTAATTAATAAACAAAGTACAAGTATGTATGAAATATGTACATATTTCAATTCAAGGGAATCATGTAGTAAAATAAATCATGCGTGATATGTAGTGTACCTTAATGTTGGATAAAAGGCAAGACACGTCTTTCGTCATACGAGCGAGATGTGTCGTGATGTTGTTTGACTTGATTTCGCTCTGATGAACGATGGCCAGCTTGGCGAATGCCTCGGACAGCTCAACGAACGTCTTGGAGTCCATTCCGTTTGCAATAGAAGCGATGTTGCCGTAAGCATCAATCACTACGAAACCAATATATTTATTCAGGACATTTGAAAAGAATTATTTTGTCACGAGAGAAAGATTTATTAAATTAGAAATTACATAAAAATTTTATAAAAACAGAGATTAAAATCAAATTTTTTTATGACAATCAAAGAAAAGAGAAGATTGTGCATCATTTTTCTGTTAAGAGAAGATCGAACTGAACAAAGAACTTGCAAGAAATACACGCTTTGCTCTCAGCGAGAGACTCTGTGTTCTTTCTAAGAACATTTCTAAGTAATTTTTCGCAATTTTTAAGATACTTAATTTGCGAATCTCTGGAAATACATATATATAGATTTTTTCGTCTGTTATTGGAAGAAAATCTTAAGGAATGCACGCGCTCTAAGATAAGACTGAAAATAGTTCCCGGGTTAAAGAGTCGTTAGAGCGTAATGGGAGCGTTCTCACCTTTCGTCAACAGCTCCGTTTCCGTTTGCACGTCCGTGTCGAAAACGATTACGCCGTTCAAAGTGGCAAAGAATAGCTTGAAGACCTCGCCCGCCTTCGCAAACAGATTCCTCAACTCCTGCATTGCACCGCTCAATAGCGCTCCATATTTTGGACTGCACGATTAACATTTATTTTCTGTATTAGTCGAACTACGAGGGTTGTTCCGCGCAGTGTCATAAAAATTGCTAACAATGATTTATTAATTTATTAACAAAAGAATATTTTTAATAAAGCGACAATGACAAGCCACAATAAAGCCAATGACAACAACAAAAAATAGCTAATTATTAATTATTGGTTTACATTTATTTATGGAAACTAATTATTTATGGAAACTTGATGGACATTCAGCTAGTTCATATATAATAGGGGAATCCACAATACAAACTTCTATATATTAACGATAAGATGCTCACTTCGATTATTTTGCATGTGACGGAAAGAGACAAAAGTGACGCCGAACTCCTTGTCTGTCACGTACCCCTTATGCATATATATACGTACTATCTGTGAGTATATCACGTGACTGACATCCATTTCTATCAACGTAGATTAATTTTATACTTGGTTTAAATACGAATATTCAATATGAGAAGTTCAGGGTTTAGGGTAAGCGCGTCGTTTGTTGCTCGGCAAAACGTATCGATATCCGACAGATACCTGGCTTTGCAGTGCTCGAAAATTGTCCTCGTCGTTTCCGGTAGAATGTCACATAACGTTGCTACGTAGGTAGCTCGGACGTTTTCGAGCGCGGAAATGTGTTCCACGCATTTCTTCCAAAGATCGAGAAGTCCGTAACAAACTTGCAATCTGCACTTGATGCCATCCAGATCGTCGAGTCTCGCATTATCGCCTATTAGATCATCTATGGCTTTCACGATCTTTGATTCATCGCCAAAGAAAGAAACGAGAATATTTCAATTATCAAAATTGATGCGATAAATAATATCATATCTAGTCGAGCTATGAGTACAATTTATTTCGATATAATTGCACAAAAAGAAATCTTAATCTTTAAACGTAAGATTTTCTAATGAGTAAAACAAAAATTCGAACGGCAGAAAAATAATTACAATTTTAAATTGAATATTGTCGAAGAGAAGCTTGGAAAATTCTTTTAAAAATTTGGAGGCACAAGAAAAATTAAAGATATTGAAGATCATGAAGAAGTAAGTTCTGTTGAGACTTTAAAATTTATGCATTCAAACGGTTAAAACATATGGATATGATATGATATGATGATATAATAAGATACAATATAAAAAGTTTCAAAATAAAGATGTAATGGAATTTTATAAAATTACCTGTGACAAAAGATGCTGAGCTTTCGGCAAAACTTCCCTGAAAATTTTCTCATCGAGCAACTCAATTGAACACGTGGAGAAACATTGCTCTAGTAGCTGCAGCAAATATTCTGTATCGAGAGGGAGACTCTTTTCTTCCAGTAGAACGTAACGATTGAAGAAAGCATTAATTAAGGATTGATACTTGGTAAATCTTATTCAAAAGAAAATTGTAAAAACGTAAAAAAAATACCGACTGTATACTATAAATATAACTTTGAAAAGCAAATACGATGCTGAAAGAAGTTTTTTTTTTTTCAATATCAATAAATTTATTTATAAATTTTTCAAAATCGAAAGATATATATTTTCACTTTTTATATTTTATAACTGGCATCGGAAAACAAAACCATCATAGAAAATTTTTAAGCATCATATTTGCTTTCTAAAATCATGCAAATTAAATTGTTAATATTCTTTCGTATTTTTAAATCTTAGAGAATTGTTTAGATATTTAATCTTTGATTTCTTAATCATTCTTTGTATTAAAAGGATATTTGCAATTTGACCACTTCGCTGTCGAGATTAGTTGTATCGAAGAAAGCATCAAAATCATCGGATGACATATTCATGTCCACATCCAGATCTAAAACAATATATGTATATAAGTAATTTTATTATATATATCTTTATTTATATTATTTATAAGTATCTTTTTTTTCTCTCTTAGAAATTAGCATGCACAAGTACCATTAATAAAGAAAACCATTAATAATTTTTTACATCAATAATTCCCTTCTAGTTACAAACTGATTACGACAATCATAGATTGGGATATACTATTTTTAATTATTCCATCAAAACAATCATATAAAATACTGAATTTTTAATCTGATTCATTAAATCGGTTTTGAAAAAACTATTACAAGTTAAAAAAATAATTATATGTTACTTAAATTACAAAGATACACTGTGTACAATAGATTTACAATACAAATTTACTGAAATTAATCAGTAAGAAAGTACAGTAAATAAAATATAGTAATAACTTAAACTCTTCGCCAATAGCGTATTTTCGCAACAGTTTCAAATGGAGATCGATCAACCGAGGAGAGGGGAGAGGGGTGTAATCGGACCTCTCTCTCCCCTCCTGCTATCAATCTCGAATAATAGTTAGAAACGGGGCAAATCGAAAATTTCTTGGCAATGCTCGAGGTTGCCAAAGTTTGCTGATAAGGACGTCAATTAAGGCAGCTCCAAGCTCTAATCGTCGATTTACCAAAAGTTTCCGGCTGTAATTTCTGCGCCATCGCCGGCAAGCGAAATTGTAACCCACTTCTCGGGAGGATTTAACCGATCGAATCGATACGCGAGGTCGATTTTCCGAAATTTCCCCTAAAATGTTTCAATTGCCATAAATTGTTTCTATATAGATTATAATTTATTTTTTATTTTTTATTTAATATTTATTTTTTAGACACGAAAAAGAGAATAAGAGTTGTAGAAATAAAAGTATTACGGTCAATATTAGATGTCAATATAGAAAAGAAAAAATCCAATTAACGTGAGAAGATTAAAACGGATGACAAGAAGAAAAAGAAGAATGCAGAGCGACGGAATGCAAAGCGTGTGGCCGAGGTATAGACTAGCGTGTATATTATTGCAAAAATTGAGGGTCAACGGAGAAAAGACATCCTGGCCGAGGAAACGAGTTCGAAGTTGATTCCCTTCGTCAACGGGGCAAGGCCAATGCAAATATGAAGAATCCCGGTCGGGAGGAAGAGGAAAAAAAGGGGTAGAAGAGGGGGAAGACAAATAAGGTGGTCGCGGGAGTAAACGAGTGAGAAAAGAAGTCGATCCGCGCCAGGAATTGGAATGATCGAGCCGTCGGACTTGCCATGGCAACTGCGGACAACAAGCTGTCAGATGATGGGCAGAAGTTTTGATCAATAATACCGGCAGTGACTGGTTGCCTGCCGGCAGTTCTCGAGTTCGATATACGGGAGTCGCGCGAACAGTGATTTTGACTCCAAACAACAGCACGTGGCCTGCCGAGCCTGTAGTAAGGACAGAGGGTGGCGAAGGGGTTAAGAGAGGGTGGTTCCGACACGTGACGAAGAGACGGCGAGCGATGTGTACCAGGCTGAGTCACGGAGGATGGATTTGAGCGATGCGATTTTCGATCGAGAGATGCTAATTTCTCGTCCCTGAATTACGAACTCGAGACTCGAGCCGCCAGTCGGCTTTAAGAGTGGCACTGACTACTGATTGCGATACCGATGTTTCGATATGTCTATTTATTGAAAGGGTCTGACCTACTAAATTCGTACGAATATTTTATTATGCTTGAAATACAGTAAAGAACATAATAAAGTAAAATAATATTAGATGATAATAGTTTTCTATCTGTTCTCTTAAAATAACTTAAAAAAAAATCGATTTGGAAATATGGAAAAGATTGCAGAAAAGAAGCTCTTTCTGCTTCGGATAAAATAATTAGAGAAGTAATTATATCAATTCTCTAAATACTCCTCTACTTTTTATTTTATTTCAATAATGTGTAAAAATATATAAAAAAATAATTATTCGAAAGAACGAAAACTTTATGATTTAAAGAATTTTTCTTCCTTCTTAAAAAAATCATCTTTTTCATCGTTTTAAAAAATTTAAAAGCTATTCGCGCTTTTTCAATAATAAAATTATTTTCATTAATACATACGTAATAAGAGACTCGCGGATAGAAAAGATCAACTTAAATTTATAATGAATTGAGTAAAAAAATTTTGCTTCTCCACGATATCTGTCTTTCTAAAAACGAGTAATTTCCGTATTCTCTTCCGTACCATCAAAAATAAAGCAAAAATATTTCAAATGTACAAATTGAGGGAGATATCACGGTATACGTGTGTATGTACAGATACCGCGATATGTTACGTGGCCTCGAGGGTAACGTATACGAAGTGAGCGAGGAGTTCGACCACCCTGGCAGCGCTGACAGTGATCGTAATGACGGAGGTTAATGGTACCAGTACAACTATAGTGCCTGTGTGTTGGCTCCCGTTCAAGACGGAGGAAGGGATGGTAAGGGAAAGCGAGAAGGGGAGGCCTAGAGTGTACACCTGTGCCCGACTGTGCGTGTTGGTGAACCGGGACTTGGACTTGGTACACACCGAAGGTTGGTGGAGGGCAATGGATGAGGGTAGTCAGTCAGTCGGCGCCCGGTCGTGGCGTCGACAACGTTCCTCGGCGGACTCCACGCACGAGGATTGAAGAAACCTAAATACTATATTCAGAAAAAGACCCTCTTCCTTAACTCGACCTGCGTATCTATCGCCAGGGGGTTGCTACCCCCTGAGTGAGAGTCAACGAACAAATGCATAAATAAGCTCGACCGGAAGAGCTCTGGAAACCGTCGAGAAGACGCGTCGACAATGGGAAGACAATTGGCCGGGGATGTCTAACGGCAGAAGAGCGACGCGTCCCGTCAGGCAGCTGTCGTTGCAGCAGCCTGTGCCGCGTCGACAGCACTTCAGACGACAGCGATCGGCGGAGGACGATTGCAGCAAGTCCTTGCAGATCTACGCGAATCCAATCGCGCGGGGAAGATCAGCCGCGAATGTGACGGAGAAGCCCAAGGTGCAATGCGAAAATTTGCCTCCTTTTAATCGCTAGAACTCTTTTAATTGTCGCCTTTTTCTGTCAGACATGTAGAAAGCTTGTTCTTTTATCATTCAATAATCGAAGAACCCTTTTATACATTACGTCATATTCATTTTTAATATTTCTCTCAGTGCGTAATCTTGATAAACGTGCTTTATATTTTATATAATTATGTTGATATAGGTATGTTTTATTAATTTATTAATTATGTTATCGTACAATTGACAGGTGCGGGTCGCCTGGGGCGATGATCGTCGCGGCTGCGACAGTCTGGCCCAGGTGGAGGTGGTGGCTCGGCAGATCCCGGGTCGATCCAGACCGACCACAGGCCGATCTGGCAGGGCTTATGCCACCACGGAGAAGGCGTCGATTCTTTACTCGCGGCAGGAGCTCGCCGAGAGGCTGCGACTCGCGTGGAAGCACCGGGAGCAGAACAAAGCGAACATCGACATATTCCTGGCGCATGGCGTGGCAGTGGAGGAACGTTGCGATTCTCAGCTATCGATATCCACCCCGCCGACCCCGCTCTCCAGGAGGGAGCCCAATTTTATTCGGAATGAGGGAAAGAGCCAGCGGAATTCGACGGCGTCGAGCAATTTGGAAGACCGAGGGAAGGAAATGCGTGAAGATCGTGATAACGAAAATGAAAGATTATGCGGGAAGAAGCTGGAGACTGCGTCTCGATTGACGGAGATTGATTTGTCGATGAAAAGGGATGAGAAGGCAACGGAGAGCGTGGAAAAGAAGGAAAGAGATAACGAGGTATATATCTACATGAATCATTACACTGCTTAAAATAATGAATTTTTCTAATATCATCATTCCAATGTAATCATTCTTCATTAAAAAAATAATTAATAATTAGATAAATTACCGTCTTCTTAATTTTTTTAGAGACCGGCGGATTCGCACGATAATGTGGATATCGAGGAAGAGGAGAAGAAGAAGAAGACGCGTATAAATATCGACTGCACGAATCTTCATCTTTCGACGACCGATCAATCGCAGCCATCATCCGTGAAAGCGGAAAATGCGGACCCGGCGAAGAGCAACGCCGATTTCTCGTCGGCGAAGCAGAAGCGCGCGAGTTTTCACAGCGGCACCAATCGCGCCTTTCTCGTGCCGATGACGGAGAAGCCTTCTCCGAAAGGGCCTTCTCCGGAAGCGAAGAATAAGCTCGCACCGACGAAATCGATCGAGATCAGATGCGCCTCGGCCGACAAGACCATCATGAGATTGCCGATCGACAGGAGTGCCGCACTCACGAGGAGCTCGTCCACGGCGAGCCTGGAGAAGGCGAGGAGGACGAATTCCGCGCCGCCGCAGAGGCGAAATCTCGCACCCGCGGCGCGCGTGCAGGTGAACATCGTGATCGACGCGCCCGGTCTCACCGTCGAGGAGGCGACGGATAAATCGATCGTTTGTGTCGAAAAAATGCAGGACGGAAAAGATGCCGTGGAAAAATACGAGGAGGGCGCGGCGAAGGTAAGTGGTCGCCAGACGTTTTTTTTTCACCTGCATGGAATCTGGAAAAATTCACGGGGATTCACCTCGGCGATAAAGAATCCGGGGAATTCACTATTCGCCTCGCACGTCACAAGTCAAAGATTTAATTTAAAAAGGTAGTCGGATAAAAACAAAGATAGGGATCCGCGCAAACTGTTCTCCAGATATCGCGTGGCGAGCGGTCGATAAGATCGGCGCCTCTGAAGAGGCGATCGAGAAGCGCGAAGAGGCGTCTCCTCGCCTCGTCGGGCCCGAGCAAGGACGAAGATCGCGGCGGACGTGGGAAGGCCTTCGTGGATCCGAAAACGAGCGACGTGATCACGATGGTGTCGCTGGTCAGCTCGGCCGACAGCGACAGCGACGTGGAGAATTCGCCGGGCGACGATAAGCTTATCAATGAGCTGCGCAGCAAGCTGCCCACCACACCTATCATTAAGACGTCCATCAACCCCAACCCCAATACAGCGCGGAGGCCCATCAAGTCAGGTAAAAGATGCCTCCATTATATTTTTATATAAATAAAAATGTTTTGTATATATATAAATTGTACAAGTTTATCAAGTAAATATAACGATAGACTTTAAAGGCTTCTTATAAATCGTTAATCGCCGCTGTTAATCGCGGATTGATGCTTCTCGCGTCGCAAATTAGTATTTATCTAGCCGTGCGATCGCGTTGATAACGTACGATAACGTATACGCGTGCGGTAACGAGTGAGGCAAAGAGGCGTAGAACTATAATTGAGCCGACTAATTAGGAGAGACACGAGACACGCGAGCCGCACATAGTCGGAATAATTCCGGCTAGTCTATACAACACTTGCGTTCACTTTGCGATCAGTAAATTCTTAATTCATTTCATGGCAATTAAAATCGCTTAATTATTTTTTTTCATTAATTTCTTCTGTTTTACATAAAAATTTTTCAGCTCTAATCCAAACGGTTTACAATTATTTAGAAAATCGATTAAAAATACTACACAAAATTTGTTATTACATGATGAAAAGAGGAAAGAGAAGAAGGCACATGAAAATAAATTTTTACAACTTGCGTGTCTCAGAAAATATCAATATTTAGCGAATATCAGAAAATAAAATAAAATAGATACATGAAAGACATTTTTCCACATTTTCTATTTATCTTGTTATGTAGAGCCCGCGATTTGTCGATTGTACTAATAATGGACCACTCAGTACGGAGTCGTGCAATTTATGCGCATCGTGGAGACATCGTGATTGATCGTGTTGGATTAATAGGCCTGCCGTGTACGATCGAGTTTAGGCTTTTTACAAATATCGCATAGGTCGAGTCGGGCCTATATATTTGCCGAGTAACCCGGTTTCACCGTTTGCGAAAGACTGACAATGAGCCAAAATGATATCCAGCATCGATTTACTTTTGCGGTAGACCAAACATCATCCATTATCAAGCATTATTCCTTGACTTGGCCTTTCGCCCCGAGGAAATTTCACTTCACGAAGCGACTAAATCGCCGGACAGTTTCCTTCCAGAGAGACTCGTTTGACGAGGAGCCGACGAAGGAGGAGAAGCGAAACGTTAGCAGCAACGTTCAACTTCCCCGTCCCTTCGGCCTCGCCGTCAACGTCGCTCACGGGAACGGTGGTGAGGACCTGGAGGAGAAGGACAGCAGGACTGTCATCGATAATGTCATCGCGATTCCGACGCTGGTCGTCGAACCTGTGCTAATTCCGCAGGATCCCGAGAGGACGGTGGTACCGGAGGCACCGTTGACCGATCGCGAGAAGAGGTGCCTGGCGGTGCCGATCGGCGATCTGCACGACAAGAAGCGGAAGCTGCTGCGAACGCGCAGCACACCGAGCCGCCCGATGTGAGCGAGATCTTCTTAGTCACGATAAAATAAATATCTATATAAAAAAAAATAATATGACTAAAAATTATGTTACCAGCGTTTCGAATATTGAAATAACGATATCTTCAGTTATTCCAGCCCGTCAATCATCTCTTAATTTAATTATATATTTATCCATAATTTTTAATTCGGATAACAAAGGTTTTATTATTTTAGGAATCATTCTTCCCTTAAGAACGAAAGCATTACGCAAAATTGCAGAAATAACGAAAGCTCGTGAAAGGAGTTAGCAAAAGCAAACGGCCGTGCGAGGAGAAATGAAGCCCGTCGATTTGCAGTAATCGCGAGCTATCATCGTATCTTAATCTGTATAGAAAGCATTAGGGGGGGAGAGGAGGGATAAAAAGTTCGATTGGCCGACGATTTATGATATTGACGTCGAAAAAATAAAGTGGGGCGATGCTGGGGGAGGAAAAGAGAGGAGGAAGAGGAGGAGGAGGTCGAGGAGGAGGAAGGAGTTGGTTGGTAACGGGCTGGTACGGCCGTGAATGTTCGCATCCCGCGGATCGTGGTACGTCCTTCGATTGGTGCCTCCACTAAACTTCGATCATCATATTCGATGTCATCCGCGACGCCGTGCTTTGCTCGCTTTAGTTTAAAAGGCTCATAAACTGATACTAAACTCTGCAATTTAGCGAATATGCGCTCTCGCAATCTTGCATCTTATGAATCTCGCGAGAACCCTCTCTCTCTTCTCCCTTCGTTCCTCGTTCCGCGTTATCGAAATATTCTCGCAATTCTCTTATAATTCTTGAATATACCCAAATAAAGTATTTTATTAATAAATGCCATCCACAAATATATAATTTTTCCTCAAGAAGTTAAATTATTATTTACTAAATCATTTTTTTAAATTATCATTATAGATATAATGAAAGCCGACCTGGTCAAAATGTATTCGATTAAAAAAACGTATCCAAGGATTGCTATACAATTTGACCTTACGATTTTGTAATTCTACTGCGTTGTACGAAAAAGGGGAAAAAAAAGGAAAATGTGTTTCCGATGTGTTTCGCAGAGTAGCGGAGCGGTTGAATAACGTGCCGATGGAGATAAAAGAGCAGAGGCTGCCTCTCGTGATACCGCGAGTCGATCTCGTCGCGATTTCCGCACCGCCGATCGACACACCGCTTTCAAAAGTAAAAGAATCAAATTAAAGCTAATTAAATTTTACACCAGTATAACTGTATCATAGAATTTTTATGTCATATTTTTCAATAATATTATTACTGTTACCGCTATTACTATTATTAATATTATTATAATGCTGCGTGCTTTCATAATTTTTAATCTAATATATTTTTGGCTTATATACAGGAGGAATTTCTTAAAGAGGCGCTGCCGAAAGAAATGCCACCAGAGGTGATGCTGCCGTCGGAGCCACATTTTCAAACGACCAAGGAAAAGGAATGCTGGCATCTCTACAGGCGGATGTGCGATAAGGGCGTATGCGTGTCCTTCGACACTGTTCTAAGGTAACGAGTAATTATCGATCAAATCGAGAATCTAATCAACAAATCTAAATTAACTAAGAACTTAAAGTCTTAAAAAAAAAATCATTAGAATAATTAGCAAGTGTATAATATACGTGGCATTATTAATAAAACAAATTATCTCAGGATATAAAAAAAATTATTTAAAAGAAGAATATAAAAAAACATTTTCATAATAAAAAATAATTCGATTCTTAGAAAAAGAGACAAAATAGAATGCAATTAATTTATATTCAACTCTCGCAATTTTTTACATATATACGTGAGTGATTGGAAAAATGTATTTCAGAGGCATGCTAACACCGACGGAGTATCGACTGCGACAGAAGGAATGTTCACAGGATTTGCGATGAGATGTTGAATTGTTTATGACGTTTAAATACTTTTTTAACAGATTAATTATTGGTATTTGCTAGAATCGAGTTAATTGTCCAGAAAAAAAACGGTATACGATGAAATACACTATTATATATATATGTAATTTATATATGCAATTTATTAATTACAATTAATAAATTACACATATATATATATCTGTCATATATATTATAATTCGTATATATGATTTATTAATAATTAATCATTTTAATTGTGTGTACAATTTATACACATAGAATAAGTATACGAAAACGATCACGAGATAGCCATAAATTATTAATAATTGCTATCAAGGCCAAATAAATGACGCCTCGGTAATAATAATTAATAATAACAAATAAATTAGGCGCACATGGTAAAGTAACAGGCATAAACCGAATTACCTGAAATTAGAATGGTTCCTATTAAACCTTAAATCCTACTGCCTCTTTCTCGATCTTTTTATATTGCCGAATTAATTTTTTAATTATTTTTGAAATCTTATTTCCGATGATAGCCAATTTGATGTCAGGACATTTTTAACGCATCTAACGCATTTAAGTACGTAACATATATTTCACAGAATATGTCTATTTTCTTTTAATTGTACTGTCTCACAATTTTCGCACCAAGAATAAAATAGTACCAGTAAAATGCAGTAGTCATTAAAGAAAGAACAAAAAGATGACGTCGCGACGCTACCGCGTATCGCTTGATAAAAAGTGCAATTAAAGAGAATAGATCTTTTTCTTTTTCTTTCCTATACAGAGTTTTGCGAAATTTTTCTTCGTAAACGCGTATGTCGATATCGAAAAAAGAACAATGAAAAATCGTAACTTCGGAAATCGGCTCGGCTGTAATCCAAAGTTGTGACTTTCGAATAAATTAGGTATGTAAAATGAACAAGCCGAATGATCGATACTCACCGATCAGAGAATTTAAATTCCCTCCTTCACCTCCTCCTCTTTCATCTCTGTCTCTCTTCTTTTTCTGTTCTTCGTGAAGATTAAGACACACAGACAATTGCGAAGTATCTGTCTCGAAATCGAAAACGCGGTGCCGTCCTTCGCAAATTGCGCATGCAAAAACTGAATACTACAGCGAAGGGGAATCGTGAATCATCGAGACAAAAAGCGAGACAGGCGCACGTCTACGAAGTCGGACCTATGAATTAAGTTGGCGCGAAAATCGAGATGCGAAAATCGATTGGTGATCGTGCGAAAAGGAGCGCGAAAAGGAAAAAGAAAGATTCGGCCTAGAGCTTCGTAAAATCGTAATACGATGTCACAAGACGTAAAATGAAATTTCCGAACGCAAATAAAAATTATTTTTAGCATGACCTTCACGAGCTATGAACACAATAACGCTCTTAAGACGATTTTCGTGGAATAAAGCGATTTTCATTAAGACTATCTTAAGCAATCGTCTTAAGAGATTAAATTATGAATACCGTCGTCTGTATCTGAACTCCTTGGACTTTCAATCCTCTTTTCTCTATCGTCTAATTATATATTTCATATCAAACAGAAAAAGTGCATGAGCCACAAAGAACAGCCTCCTAATTCTTCATAATTGTACTGTTACATAAATTTAAAATAAAATAGCATAATTAGACGTTAAATTAAATCACATAATTATACGTTAAAGAGAAAAAAAAGAAAGATAAACGGTAAAAGTAAGAAATTCAACTGCAAGGAACAATAATTTATGATTTTCACACGTGGCTCCTCTATTCTGAATTATACAACACTTCAGACAGAGTACATTCCATTAATAGAATCACATTTTTCAGATATACTTTCAAGATAAATCAGTATAGCTAAATATTTCCGCTGAAATTCGATCGCTTAGAAACATTCTACCTATTTCGATGGCTGCAGGAGGGGCGAAAAGAGAGAGGAGGGGAAAAAAGAGCAGGTGCAAAAAGTGCAGTTTAAAGGGACAAAGTGACAGCTGATTGACAGCTGACCCGAACCTGGACGAATCTCGTCGAGGTGGGTTCGGCGCTGTTTTTATCACATGTTAGCTGCGCGAAATGAGATCCTTGTCCGTTTCCCTGACAACAGACGCCGAGCAAGGATGTCGAGGAAGCACGAGAGCAAGAAGGTCGACTACAAGGCGCGGCTCGAGTACAAGCTGTATCTGGTACGTAATTCCACGAATTGAGGTTATGATCCGTGATTCGAGCCAATTATCGGCGATAATTAATTAGCTAGTTAGTGTCAGCCCACATCTGGATCCCTTACCGTATCCTTATTAACAAATAATGACAAATAAACAAATTACGTATATACAGATGAGAAAAATATAACACAAACATCTGCAAATTAGATTTAGCAAATTGAGGTTATGAGTTCACGGATTCTGAGAATAAACTAATTATGACTAATTATTAATTTTTTAATAACTAATCAAAGTTAATTATTTAAACTGAGACACTTATAATCACCGTTGAATAATGCCTGTTACTTTACAATCGCCTTTGTATATGAAATAATGAGTATGTAATAAAATGCAATATATGTAGATTATGATTCATATTCAGAACGCGCCTTTATCGATAAAATGCGCACTTTTATCTCTGAAATTCTAGTATAGTATACGCAACGTAAACTACGTAGTATATTAGCACTCTAACATCGTTGTTAGCGCGTTCTGAATACGGGCCAATAAATAATTAGCAATTTAATGAAGGATAGTATTGTCTGTGTGTTTGCAATTGTTATTTATTTTGCACGACAGGCCAGGGAAAACCCGGAGCCGGTGTTCGATGTGTCGGAATGTGCCTTGAAGAACGTGCCGTCGGGCATCTATTCGCTTTGCAAGGTGTTCCGAAAAAAGATTTTGCTAATGTATGATAACAAGCTGAGCTCACTCTCGGGTGGAGGTGCCTTAAGCGACTTATCGTTGTTGACTGTCTTAGACATTCACGGAAACGAGTTTACCGGATTACCCTCTGATATTAAGCATCTCTCCTCCCTTAAGGTGGGTTTATCAGATTGATCGAAAAAGTCTATTTATTTATTTCCCCTTATTATACAAGATAAAATACATAGAGAGGAAGATAGAAAACGGTGTAATTTTCCTGGCAAAATATTATATAAAGACCTCCATACAAAATCTTTATGTATTAGATACAAGTAATAAAACATAAAAAAAGTTTATTTAACAAACGAAGAGAAGCTAATTATCGATCAACTATTACATAAGTAATTTTTGTTGTTGTATATTATCTTTGCTATGTGTAGAATCGATAATATTAAAATATGAAATAATAATTATAATTTGAATAAGATTAAAATATGACTTATTCTATTTTTTTTTTTAGGAGCTTTATTTGCAAGACAACAACCTCCGCAAACTGCCCAATGAAGTAGTGTACTTGAATAAATTAACAATTTTGAATGTCTCGAGGAATAACCTGAAGCAGCTGCCCGACGGCATCGGGCAGCTGCAGCAGCTCAACACTCTCGATATTAGCCACAACAAATCGCTGCATAAGCTGCCCCAATTTCTGGGCTATGCCCAACAACTGACGAGTCTAAATATCGACGGGTTAAACCTGTCGTATCCACCTCAGGATATTTTGGACGGCGGCGCGATAGTGATTGTCGCGTTTCTGGCGAACGAAAGCGGCATCGAGTACTCGCCGGAGGACTCGGTATCGGAGACCGATATTTCAAGGGATATGAGCTCGGACGACATGCAGACGGTATACCGTAATAAGAGTAACGACGTGCAGGTATTATAATGTAGTGCATGAATACAGTGTTGTGAAATAAGTTATGAGATTATGTTAGTACCTGTATATAATTTGTTATTATACATCGTAAAACATACGTCGCCAAATTGATCGAAAATAAGGAAGGATTATTTAAATATTTACTGTCTTAGAAACATATATTCTTTTTGACTAAACGATGAGTTCCCTTTCTCTCCCCCTCCCTCCTTCAGCATATTTTGAAAAATTTTACAGAAATTGATCAATTTTGCGAGTATCTATGATTTAGACATAATGTGTTTTCGATGTTTGCGCATATTCACAATTTTTCTTTTTTTTTTAGGCAACATTACAGAAGCTAAATGAAATGAAGGCATGTGGACGCTTCTTTGAGTTTCGTATGCTTCTCACTTTGTCGACCATTTAATTTATTATTACCTAATAATAAGTTGATTTGGAAGGCGCTCAGTGCAATAATAATTTAACTTACAAAAAGTAAATGAACAAAAATCTTGAACCGATAACAAATTTTTTTATAATGTGATCAATTTTGTTCATTTATTTTTATATTTTAAATCACTTTGTGCCCAGCGCCTCGCTTATATTCATTAAGTAATTCCACTGCTAAAACTAAAATGCCGACTTCTTATTCCATCCAAACTCTTGTTATTTATTTCTTTTTCTTTTATTTTGTTTGCAGCATTTTTTCGAATATCTGTATAACATTTGTTTTTATTTACATTTTGCTCATCTAATTTATCTGTGATTTTTCTACGCAACAAAAATCGATTGAAAATTTACACATCTGTGAGAATAGATTTTAATAGATTAATTTTAAAACATTGCTAGCAACAGACTAATAAAGAATTTTTTCTTTTTTATTCGTATAAGAGTGATATTGTAAAAAAGCACATCTTTTTTATTAACTTGTTACATAACATGCCGATACCGATGCCGTGATAATAAAATTCATTTTTCGACAGAAATATCGGCAAAACGCCTTGTTGGAAGTGGAGAAAAACATGAAGCAACAGCAGGAGTACGAGATAGAGGTGCAATCCATGCTCAAGGCTCATAGGAAGAAGGTGAATTAAGTGCACGCAAAAATTGTAGGCATCTTAAACATGAGAGACTGTTGCGTTTTTATAGCTTTTAGAGGACGTAGCGTTACAGCAGATACAATTGGAGCAAGAGCTCGAGAAAGTTCAGCAGGAAAGGGACACAAATAGGGCGCGTTTACTTTCGTATATTTACAATGGTATAATTTCAATCTCTAATTCCGTACAAAATGTACTAATTTAGTAAACATGAAAAGTATAAGTATAAATATATGAACGAACTATTCCCTTTTAGCGGAGAGAGAGGCCGATAACGTGATTAAAGAATTTCTGAGAAACAGCGAGGAAGATAGGCAGAGTCAGGCCGAGTTAGTGGAGCGGGAGAAGCAAGAAGAGATGCAACTGTTAAGCTCCTGTCACTCGGAACAGTTCATGCTACGTACGAAAGACACCCTTTGTAAGTATCAAAGACAAAGATTACACGCGAAATCAAGATCGTTCACGCACTGAATACAAATTTGTTTTGCAGTTTCAATGGAGAAATTGTTGGAGGAGGAAATGTGCAGAACAAGGAAATGGGAAGAGCATATCAAATGTAGAGACTACGCCGTACAATCCTTGCTTACGCTGTCAGTAACAATTCTAAATTTTTCTTTACATTTGCTTTCTTACGAGAGTCAGTCGTGACTATAAAGAATACACAAAAAAAGATGTTTTAAATATATATTTCATTTCAATGACGAGCGATCAATTTTATTGGTCGTTATTATATAACAAGAATAAGTCGAGAGGAATAAAGTAAAAATTCGAATTTAGGGAGGTGATTAACAACGATCACTTGGCACAGATAGTGCACGATCAGGAAAAAAGTAGACAAGATCTTGTCGATAGATTACGACAGGATGAAGTTTTGCAGAAAGCGGCAGTTGCCGCGTTGTTGGAACGGAGCGATGCGCGTTCCTGGAGCATTATTCAGCAAATGAATCTGGTGCAGTCGCAATTGGCTGCGCTCACTAATATCGAACTCGAGAGACGGAAGTTAGAGATCAACCAACAGCTTGTAAGTGTATAATTCTACGTTATTATCGTTAAATGAGAATTTTAAAAAATATCTCTTGCTACCATAACTTATAATTATACAGATCGTAATAAAAATCGCCAGACTTTTTATTTTCTAGAAGTTAAATATTTAATTGTCAATCTAAAAAAATTTTAGTTTCTTAAATATAATAAGGGGATATAATTTTATATATAATTACATATATATACCTATAATTTATAAAATTTATATACGTATTTTTTGTAGAATGAGATCGCTGATAGACGCGTGACTTTAACAGCTATTCTGATCGACTTATTGGAACAGCAAACGAACAGGAGAGCCCAACTATTGGAAACAATCAATACGATAGAACAACAGCGATGCATCTCCGTAAATATATATCTCATTTTCCTAAAAATGTTGATTTAATATCCTATTTCTTTTTTTGTAAAGTCAATAAATATTAATGAGTTTAATTATAGTTATAATTAAACAATGATAAAACAAGAATGTTAGAAGTGATGAAGTAATAAAGCGATAAAATAGTTAAAAAATATTGATAGAGCGCGAGACGTGGCAGCCAATTCTGGCTGATGCAATATCAATCTCTGATGGAAGCTCGACCGCAAGGATTACTAGAGATGTTGGAACCTATGCTAGTACGACATGTGGCGATAGCAGGAGCTTTGCACTGCCTTCCATTCTTGGCCACTTTGCCATCTATGTTACCGGACATCAGCGACGAACAATTAAAAGATGTATGCATGTGTCGTCAAACTTTTAAAATTTCGCTTTAAAATATTGTATATATAAAATTCAAGTATTCTTTAATCTAAAATGTGTTACTTATGTTATATTGCTTTGTGTTTTGTAGATTGGCATAAGTTGCGAGAGTGATCGCGCCGCCATAATGCTGGCGGTTGAAAATTATTTGGCAGAAGTTAAATTGAATGACGCCAGGTCGCCTGTGACGGCATCCGCGCCTCTCGAAGAGGCATCGACCAGCAATCAAGACAATTCTATTCAGAATGTCAATATAGTCGAATGCGTAATCTGCTTGGATTTACAAGTAAATATATGTTTTATATAAATATATATGCAGGATTTCAATACGCAATATTCATTGAAATTATTTTACTATTGTAATCTCGTGTTCTCTCTTTTTGCAGTGCGAGGTAATTTTTCTACCTTGTGGACACTTCTGCTGTTGCTCCATTTGCGCGGACAAAGTTTCTGCAGAATGTCCAATGTGCAGGAGTTCAATAGAACGCAAAGTTCGAGTTGTGCAGCCTTAAATTTATAAAAAAAAATTCCCTGTTTTATTCAGCTTATTCCCAAATAATATTTCAATGATACTTCTCGAGAGTATCAAAAAATGCGCTATTCTTCCTGGTCTGTGATTACGCACGTCAACAAACTGTTTTCAATAATAGTGGAAGGTATAACGCGCACAAGTTATATTTACCACTAATATAATGCTCATAAATGTCGATATGCGGAAAATGTATATTATATATTGTGATTCACAAAATTGTTCAATTGATCAATTTCGTGAGCAACTAGCTTTTTTACTATAAAATCGTTTTCCATCGGAAATTGTTCGATCGAATTTGATATTGACGTAGCGAAGTAGTCGAAACAACATTCCACGAGCATTGTACTTTAACTGTCTCGATTGATTATTTAAACGATAGATGAAATGATAAATTAACTTTCCAGAAAAATATTTAATTAAAATTTGAATTTACACCGTTCTTATATTTCTCTTTCTCTTATCCAAAAATATTTTAAAAAAAGACGATCAACTATTTTGATCAATTTAACATATTTCACAAAAGACACAATAGATTATAGATTGTGTGAATCTCTATGCTTTATCATAATATGTTGTCGTAAATATTATACTGTACTATATTTTACACTGATTTTCACATAAATCATGTGTATATATTTAATAAAAAGAGCACAAATTTACAGTTAAATTAAAATTATTTTAGTCGCACATAATTTTATATATATATATATAAACTTATATACATAATATATAAAAAATATGATAGGCAATTGAATTTAGATAGATTTCAGTATTAATTGAAGATACCACCAAAGAGAAATTAAAAAGGTGTGAAATGTTCAAAGAAAGCTTGAAAAACATTACATATATTTTATAGCTTCACAAAATACAACTATTCTATTGTAATTAAATCAATCGCGAATATGTCTTGCTAAATTGCAAAATACATGAGAACATATATATACATATTCACACCTGAGAGAAAAATATAAAATTTGTTGGTAGTTAAATGCGAAAAAATTAGTGCAAGCTTTTATAAAAAATAATTTTTACAAATTTTGATAAACAATCGTTTCTATGGGAATCAATACAACTTGAATGTTACCTTTTCATTTTAATCTTAGCGTTATTTGATTGTATAAGACTTCTGTAAAATAATATAATAAAGTTCTCATTTATGCAAATCGCGATCTCCAACTTTTAACTCAATTCTTTTCTTTTTTGCACAAAAAACATGACATATCATTTATAAATTATTAAAATTATTAAAAATGCACATCATTAAAAAATTATGTTCTACATGTTATCTGCTCTTATTATAAAAGTGTAATTAAAATAAATATATTGATCTTTTATTTAACTGGCTTCATAGTGCATAGATGATAGTTGTTCTTATTACCATTCACATTTGAGCATTTAATTTCTATTATAAATATCTTAAAATATTCTTATCATAGGTAAACTATTATACTTATTTAAGAACAGTATGTGACAAGCTCTCACTTGCTAGAAAATTTCTATAACTTCTTTTGCCGCGTCTTCATCTTCACCATTCACATCATCGTCATCCTTCTTCTGTTGCTTCTTCTTCGACGTCGCGTCCTTCTTTTCTTTCTGAATCTTCCTGAAGTTCTCCAGAGATTCCTGCAGTGGATCGACAAACTGATCAAAGTCGATGTCCACCATCGCCTGTATTACGTCCGCTCCGCTGATAGTCTTGCGGTTGCCCTTCTTGGCAACTATGTTGGCGGACGACGTGAGATAGAGTATGAAGATGGACGCGGCCTTCGCCACCGCCGTCCTGGCGTCCTTTCCGACTGTCACACCCTCCGGTAATGCCTCCTTGATGATTCTTGTCACAACTGCGTTGGGCAGGTTCAGATCCTCTAATCGCTCGGCCATCTAATTACCGTTTACGTTTTTTTTTTCAATTTTTATCAATAGAATAATGTGAAATACCGTAATCCTACAGTATTCCCGACATTCATGAGACACATTACAAAGATTATTAAAATATAATTAACGTGTTACGTTTATAACATACAAAGACATAAATATATTTCATAAATGATGTTCGTGATCATTTTTATTAAAATTATATTTACCGAATTATATGATTGTATTTTACAAAATTGTAATCTTCTTTAGGTTATCTTTGGAAAGCAGTTTGTTGAAGCGTGCAAATCACAAGGATCAGATTACAAAATAACGTAAAAAAAATGTTAATAAAAAAAAAACAAATAGCAGAAGCAATGAGAGAAATTGTCAATTACCTTGATCCGTAAACGTGCTAGAATTTATCTACCACGACGATTTGAGGTTAGGTGTTTCCCGCCAGCGGAGTCCGCGACAATAACAACCGCAGAGACAATACTCGCCGCTTTTAAACGCGGATGAGAAAGGACGAGGCGGTGAAACCTCGAGGTAAAAGTCCCAAGACGGGGGAGATTCACGAGTGTATCGGCGAGGAAAGATTGCAATTACATTTTCCACAAACCGCGAAATGCAACTCAAAATCGAAATTTAAACAGAAGCTAGACGCGGACTACGGGCGTACTGGAGATGGCGTAAACTCGCATCCGGACGGGTGGGCGCAGGTTAGGTTAGGCTTGAGACTCAGGTCGCGCCGCGCGCCGTCGATAATCGTCGAGACTCGGTCGCGCTTTGACAGTCTCGCGAAACGTCGATCCTGACGAATGGGCGAGACGCGAGTCATCGGACACCAGTCTTGATTCTCTCACGGAGCGACGTGTGTATACGCGGAGCGCGGTGCCTTGACGAGAGGCGAGCGGACGCTTTTTCGCCTGACCTGGGGCCGACTGGCAGGCGCAATTCCGGACAGCGGACTGACGCAACTTTCGACTCCGCCGTCGCGTTCGATCTCGAGCGGGGCAAAGACGAGGGCACCATACGCAGGAAAATGTCAAAGATCGAGGAGGCGAACGAGCACATACGCCAGGCTGAGAAAGCGTAAGCACCCTCACCTCCTCCCCCCCCCCCCGAGACCGCCCCTTCGACGGATCACTTAATTGTTAGACATTATCGGATCACTCGGAATGCCCCTCTCGTTGGATCTCGGACTGTCGTTACATGGTGTACGTGTAAATTTAGCATTAATTTGCAAGCGAGATGAACTCGTGAGAAAAAAAAAAAACTTATTTCACAACAATTTCTTTTCCAAGCTTTACAGTTTTGTAAGTTTTCCCCCAAAAATTGTGCGTTGCCTGTAGACTCTTACGTCGAATAAATCTCTGTCTCTCTTCCAGCTTGAAACCTACTTTCCTGAAGTGGCGACCTGATTACGAGGTAGCGGCTGACGAGTATTCACATGCAGGTAAGAAAAAATGTTGGATTCTGACAGTGAAATATATCTGGACAAAGTGTATAAATAGAAAGTCAAATATTTTATCAGTTAGGTTCGAAGAGATTAATCGATTTGTAAATGTATTGAAATACAGCATTCATTTGCAATTTGATGTGAAAATTAAATAGGAGATTGATTGCTTGAAAATTTTACTATCCTACGACATTGAGATATTAATCGATACTTTTGCAAAGATGACTTAACTGTACGTTTTTAATTCTTTCACTTTAGCAACATGCTTTCGGGTAGCCAAGTCATATGCGCAGTGTAAAGATTGTTTAGTGAAGGCAGCCGACTGTTATAAACAAAGCAAAGCGTATCCTTTGATATAATAGAAAACAATAATTTTCAGTTTTACGTGTTGCACAAAAATATATCTTTCTGTCCACAAATCTGTTCATTGTATTCTTGGTTTTATCATTATTTTAATAATCAGCTATTTTGAACTTAATTGTAATTGTTTCTAAAGTTTCTGTTTCTAAAATTCCATCTAAAATTCCCTCATGTATTTTCTTTAATTCTGCAATTATCGCGAGATAGATGGTTCCATGCAGCAAGGTGTGTATATCGTATATACAGAATTTAGGTCTTGTCATGCAATGTATGGCGATATTATAAGAACACGACGTTTTCAGGAATATCGAGCAGGCTCTGCTCGTCTGCAAGGAAATGGGGGATCTGTCAGAGATAGCGAAACTAGCTCACAGTGCCTGCAGTCTTTACCAGCAGCATGGCTCCCCTGAATCAGGTGTCACCGTTCTCGACAAGGCAGCCAAGATGCTGGAAGCTACGCAATCCCAGCAGGCTCTGGATCTCTTTAGACGCGCGGTTGATATAATCACGGTAGGTCCTGCCGTTTTATCAATGAAAATGTAACTAAAAAATTCGATTAAGTATATGAAACGAGACCATTATAGATATAATAGATCATACATATAAGATTTAATTATATAAACATATAACTTAAAAGATTTAAAGAATTTTGTGTGTGTGAGAAAGTTAAAAACAATATAAAAAAATCTATAGTTAAAGAATACTGAGAGAAGACGTTGTCTGTAGGGCGAGGACAATCCGCGACACGCAGCGGAGTACATGAGCAAAGTCGCGAGACTGCTGGTGAAGCTGCAGATGTATGACGAGGCGGCGGACGCGATACGTCGCGAGATTGGGATGTATCAGGATGTCAAGCTTTGGCAGTCGCTCGGGAGGCTCACCGTCGCGTTGGTGTTGGTGCAATTGGCGCGAGGCGACCAGGTCGCGGCCGAGAAGGCCTTCAAGGAATGGGGTAACTACTGCGAGGCCCCCGAAGTACGTGAGAGAAATAATCAACTTCCTTTAGCTTGGCATAATCAAAGTAGAAGGGAATTTACGTGTAAAATTTTCTTAATATTGCTCAGTGAGAGAAGTGTCTTGGCAAACCGGAAAGTTGTCGATATCCGTATTACTGCCAAGAGACGGACAAATTTGTCAATTACGTCGACACGCGATTTCTCGATTCTTGCAGGTGCAAACGTTGGAGATGCTGCTACAGGCGTACGACAACGAGGACGCGGATGCGGCTCGGGCGGCTCTTAATAATCCCTTTATCAAGCACATGGACGTGGAGTACGCCAAGCTAGCGCGAGGCTTGCCCTTGCCGCAACAGGAATACGCTATACCGCCCGCTGGAGTAAGAACCAACGCCGCAGAATCCTACGTTTCTCCCAATACATCCAAAGGCGAACAGACTACCGTCGAGGCGGAGGTCAACCACGTGAGTTTCATTACTATGTTTTATTATTATTCGCAGTTATTCCGTTAGATATACAATGACGGTGGTTTGTTGCTTTTCTAGACGAAGAACGAAGCCAGTGAAACTAGTCAATCAATGGATAAGAAGCCGGAAGTCGCATCACCGCCGAAACCGACGCAAAAGCGGCAGGAAGAGGACGATTATGACGAGGGCCTATGCTAATCGTCTTTACATGTAAAAAAAAAGTCCTGTATTGCTTACAAACTTTTAATTGTGTAACGCTTGCATGTATATTGAGCGTTTCATCGAAAGCACCCTGTTCGCTTCGAGAGAATCTATCTTTCAGCTTAACTTTCAACAGGAATGTAACTCTTAGAATTATTAGAACGCAATGCCAAAATGTGAAAGGGAATAACACTCCATACTTTTTTTTATCTCTTAAATTTTCACCTATGTGTCAATCGATTTAATTCACTTATTAATAACTTTTCCTCTCTACAGAATTCTTGCGAGAGTTCCAAGATTTATAAAACTCCGATCGATTCAATTTTATATTTTAATTAGATTAGAAACCTACAAGTGCTACATGTGCCACGGAGAAAAGATATTTTTGTTGAAGAAACTTGGTGTGTGCCATCAGAAATGGGAAACTCAATTATCTCCTTTGATTGTGACAATACATATAGAAATATTTCAGATCCATCCTTCACGAATTAATCTGAAATGTTTTCCTTTTTCACAATCATCGCGATCGAAGGAAATAAACGTTTCGATAATTCAGTTTTCTGATGGGACATTCTGTATATATAGCGACGTCGCGAACGTAAATACGAGACGACGTTGGCATTTGACTTTTTAGTTATACATGTGCGCGCGTGTATGTATATATCGCATCCTTAGCAGAACTTCAATATTTCCATATTTTTAATTAATGATTAGCCGACGCGTTGTATATACTTTAATTGAGATACGAGAGACATTCCTCGATTAAGGCAGAAATATTTAATTTTGCAGCACTAGCAGGATCGTTATAACTGAACTGTTGTATAATTACGAGAGTTTAAGAGAGAGAGAGAGAAAAGAAGATAAATACTAAATATATCCCGAGACATTGTTGTTTTATTTGCAATCTACAAAACGTACGATCCCTCCTTCCGAAAAAAATCTCAAGACCGGTCTGCGAAAACTGACTTTTTTTTTTTTTTTTTAATACTTTCGGCTCGTATGAGACACGCTTTGTCAATCTGTCCGAAACGAGCATCGCAAGAGCTAACTCCGTTACGTGACAGGTTATGTTTGATGGTAGCGCATGTATGTTCCTCTCATGACACACTACGCTTTCTTAAATATGAGATAAATATAACTGAAGCAAAAGAGAGATGAAGAGGAAAAAATTTGATAAGAGATAAGGAAAGCGCAGTTAAGGAAAAGCAGATTTGTACTTGCGAGGAACACTCACCGGGAAGCTCGAATCACGTAACGGCAGGCGAACGCGGGTGTTGCCTCGGGACGACAACGAATTTTTCGTAGAGTTCACGAATCCGCGGAATCCGGAGTGATCACACCACGTTGCCCGCGCTACAAGTATCTATTTAGAGGAACTCGCGAAACGTTTGGCACAGTTTGACATGAATTTGAAACCGAGTGAAAATGGCGCGTGCGACAATAAACAAACCATACTCGATCGTAAAGGTATGTTCAGAAGGATTTGCACAAGCGCGTTAGAAGGTAACCGACCAATCGCGTGTCTACTGCAAGAATTCATGAATTATGATCGATAAGGAGTAATAATAACATAATAATATATAATGTACCAGCGTCCCACGTTTTCAAAAAAGAAATTACGTATCACGTCTATCTTATAACATTGTCGATCAAATCGTAGCACGAGAACGTGGACGTGGTTCGTGCTAATCGTGCTACGTGCACAAATTGTGAATAAATAGATCACGTTTATTTTACAATGTTGCTGATGAAATGACATTCCAATTCATGTCTACTACATCTACAAATTATAGGTGAAGAATGTGGCATATATAATGCACGATTAGCATACGAACCACGTCCACGTGCCTAGCCAGCGCGCCTTGTCAGAGGCTCGAAAACTCTCGCCGATACGCGGAGAACATGTTGAGCAAAGAGGTGGCACGGAATCCTAGCCAGCGCGCGTATCGACAGAGGCTTGTTGATAAGATGGAAAACTGCTGAGCAAAGAGGCACGGAATCCTGGCCAGCGGGCCTCGTCAGAGGCTCGAAAACTCCTGCCGATACGCGGAGAACATGTTGAGCAAAGAGGTGGCA